GTCAAGCTGAATTATGTCCTGCATCAGAAATAATGCACAGAGGGTCAGCTAAGGTCAAGCTGAATTATGTCCTGCACCTGAAATAATGCACAGAGGGTCACCTGAGGTCAAGCTGAATTATGTCCTGCATCTGAAACAATGCACAGAGGGTCACCTGAGGTGAAGCTGAATTATGTCCTGCACCTGAATTAATGCACAGAGGGTCACCTGAGGTCAAGCTAAATTATGTCCTGCACCTGAAATAATGCACAGAGGGTCACCTGAGGTCAAGCTGAATTATGTCCTGCACAGAGGGTCACCTGAGGTCAAGCTGAATTATGTCCTGCATCTGAAAACAATGCACAGAGGGTCAGCTAAGGTCAAGCTGAATTATGTCCTGCACCTGAAATAATGCACAGAGGGTCACCTGAGGTCAAGCTGAATTATGTCCTGCACCTGAAATATTGCACAGAGGGTCAGCTAAAGTCAAGCTGAATTATGTCCCGCACCTGAAATAATGCACAGAGGGTCACCTGAGGTCAAGCTGAATTATGTCCTGCACAGAGGGTCACCTGAGGTCAAGCTGAATTATGTCCTGCACCTGAAATAATGCACAGAGGGTCAGCTAAGGTCAAGCTGAATTATGTCCTGCACCGGAAATAATGCACAGAGGGTCAGCTGAGGTCAAGCTGAATTATGTCCTGCATCTGAAACAATGCACAGAGGGTCACCTGAGGTCAAGCTGAATTATGTCCTGCACCTGAAATAATGCACAGAGGGTCACCTGAGGTCAAGCTGAATTATGTCCTGCACCTGAAATGATGCACGGGTCACCTCAGATCAAGCTGAATTACATCCTCATCTGAAATAATGGACAGAGGGTCACCTGAGGTGAAGCTGGAAAGTTGCCATTCGACCTCACAGATGTTGGTCACAGTGACTTTAATGGATGACATGACTTAACTTGGTATTGTTTGCTGTTAAATATGTAAACAAAATTTAATATAAGAACACCGTAAATGATCTTTGAGTTAAATCTTAAGTTTCAATTTCAAAGAAGAATACCAAATTGTTTTTTGTCCATTATCTAGATTTCTAAGTGTAAAGTTTAAGTGAATGCTTAACTTTAAAAAAACAAAACAAAAAAAACAAAAAAACAATACAACAACATCTATTTGTTTTTACAAAACAAACCACATTTCATTGTTTACATTAAAACTCTGTACAATGACTTTGATTAAAATGAAACTTGTTGCCAGACTGTTGTGCAGAAACCAGACAAAGGCAAGATTTATATGGATAGATAACATAATAGTGAAATAAAAGACAGCTTCCCTTAGATACTTAATAGAAACTTCAAAAGATTTTTAGATTAAAAGTTGTAAATGTCTAAGTTAAATTATCTGGCCAGTAATAATCAATAAGAATAGAAAATAAAATCCTCCAGTGAATTTCTTTGATATAAACAATAAGCTCTTATATCATAGTGAGAAAAAGGAAGTGATGGTATGCAGCGATTCATCTTGCTGGTTTGATTCTAAATTTGTCACACATTCTGTTTGATTGGCTAGAACAAAAGCTTAAACTATAACAATATTTTGAAATAACAATAGCTTAAACTAACAATAGTATAGACCAACAATGATACAAACCAATAGTAGTATAAACTGTGAGAATAGTAAAAACTAACAGTAGCATAAACCAATAAGAGCAGAAACCAACAATTGCATAAACCAATAAGAGCAGAAACCAACAGGAGCAGAAACCAATAAGAGCAGAAACCAACAATTGCATAAACTGACAATTGCATAAACCAACAAGAGCAGAAACAAGAAACCAACAGGTGCATAAACCAATTAGAGCAGAAACCAACAATAGCATTAATTAATAATAGCATACACCAACAATAGCATAAACCAATAATAGCATAAACCAACAATTGCTTTAACTAACTAGAGCAGAAACCAACAATTTCATAAACCAATAAGAGCAGAAATCAATAGGAGCAGAAACCAACAAGAGCAGAAACCAACAAGAGCATAAACCAATAAGAGCAGAAACCAACAAGAGCAGAAACTAACAGTTGCATATATAAAACCAACAATAGCATGTAGTATCTATAGTATTATATAAAATAACTACATATTTATTTTATGCTGATGATATTGTAAAAATTAGAAACCGTCTAAAATTAAACCAGCAATAGCAAGAAAGAACAGTTCTATAATAGCTGAAACCAATAGCCTAAAAAACCAACAATAGTATAAATTAACAATAGCAAAGTTTAACAATTGAATAAGCCACTAATAGTTTAAAAATAGCAATTATGGAATCATCTACAATTACTAACGCCTACCTTTTAACATAAATTTCCTTATCTTACATGTTTATGTTAGCTAGATATAGATATTAGGTAGGTTTTTGGTCTATATAGACTGATAAACAAGGCCAGTCTAAAAATTGATAAACATTTCCATCACTTGTAAATAATGTGCGCTTCAACCTTGACCTCATTTCTCATGCCCTTTTAAATGCTTCTAACTAATTTGATGAAATGTCCCGGGACTGAGTTTTTAAATACTGTATATCTCTGTTTGAGAAAATGCTATGCTGTCTGCCATAGACTGGTTTTTCAACGTAATAGAAAGTTGTCTGATAACATAGAAATTGTCAGCTCAAGATAATGTGCATGTCCCCATTTGATAACGGCCAAAAACTAGGTCATGTTTAGTCTCAGGTGATCTAATGTAATACTAGCGTGAAACTGATAGTGCCTTTTAAAAGCAATACATAAAATTCTGAATTGTTCTGACAGATCATATCTGTTGTCTTTTAATTTACTTAATTGAATGTGAGACCACGGGTCTTGGATATTAACATTCATGGACCTTGATTTTGCAGATGTTTTCATGGGTATGTCATTTGTGTTATATAAATAACTTAGCCTGATAAGGGAGACAATCCTATATATTTTGTTTTCTTCTATCAGAAATAAAAATAAGGGGAGATCACTGTGGCTGTAATATGTTTAATGATGGGGAAAAAGATAGATGACAGTCATTATTGATATGAATATTTGATAAGTTGATTGTGGGAGATAGTCAGTTGAGATGGTGTTAATCCGATTAGGCAGGGATCAGTGGACTGTTGGCTTTAATTATATATTAATGCCCTATACCATGTCACTTATTACTGTGTATGTTTCATGTTTATTTTTAGATTAACAGAGAGATAAAAAAAAAATAGTTACTGTTTCACAATCAATATGAAACTCTTAGTGTTTCATTGTTGCAAAATAGACCAATATGTAGACATTGTGCAGAAAAATTGGGTTTGGGTGACAATTTTGAAAATATTGCATTTTAAAGGGACTTCACTGAGGTTTTTTGACATGACAGAAGTGGAAATAATTTCGAGATAAATGTTCCATTTGATGCAGCTATAGACCATTAACTTGTGTGCAAAGTTGCTTTATCTGCTTCTCCAGAATAATTATTCCAATTGAGAGAAAATGACCCAAAACTGAAAGCAATGCAACCCTTTTCACAGAAATCGGGCAATGAATAGTACAAAAATGCAATTTTCAATTTTAAAAATTATATATTTGTCTATTTCTTAATAATTTTTTTGCATGTCTTTCTATTTTTATTGCCCCAGCTAATCTATGTAAGAAATTCAAATTTTTATGTGTTTTAGGCTTTAGGACACCAGTGGAGTTCCTTTAACACTTATGTTATGTTATGACACTATGCTTGCAACCCATTGACAGAATGAGATGATTTTTTTATGACTTCACTGAGAACAAGCTGAAAATAATATGGAATTTTACTTAGGTTGCACAAAATTTGATTTCTGTAACTTAATGGTGTGCAGCTCAAATTGTGATGTCAGTGGCTAATTATAGAAAGGAAAACCTATAAATGTCTGGTAATGCACTGATCATGATACAAGGATGGAGGGATTTTAGTGACTAATTCGATAGAAATTTTCACCATTATGTTACACACTTAAACTAAGGTTACACCTAGGGGTCAGAGGACAAAAATGTTCACAGGCCATGTCCACGCAATGTGAAAAAAATCAGGACACTGTAGTGTTAAAATTGTTACAGGCCTATTTTTTGACAGTGGCACTTGTTATGAGACATCTCAGCAATTGTCAATAATGAGTGTAAAGTTTCTTGCTCAAGGAAACAATGACCTGCTGCCCTCGCTGCGCGGCGTTTTGAACCCAGTGGCAGCTTTATTTAAGCCGAAAACATTTTTTACACAGAAGGTTCCATAAGAATGTTGCTTGTTTCACATTGGGTCTAAGTTCAAGGTCCAACAGTGCTGTTAGCAGAAATGGCCAACAAAGTGCGCTTGTTGTTTGTTTTGAAAGTCACTAATATGGGCCAAGTTCAAGGTCAATGAATAAAACAAAAACATTGATTAATGTCTCTCTTTCATGGTCCTCTTACATTTGTAGAAGTGCCAATGTGGCCTCAAGGAGCTTTCATCAAAATATCACAAATTTTAATTTTATGCTTTTCGAAAACTTCCAAATTCATTTTGTATAGAATTGTCTCCATAGACTTATAATAGTTGTTCAGTGATGCACCAGAACACTTCCAAGTTTTGATATACTCTAATTAATTTATATTAGCAAGTGCTTAATAGACATTTGCAGACAAGTTTATAGTGATGAACAAAATTAACAGCATTGATTCATATCTATAATTAATTAAAATTTAATTAGCGAAGCTAGATAAATGGGATATGGAACTCCCCTCAAGGTTTAACAGTAATAAGATTTTTTCCCTATTATAAACACATTTACACCTGTCCTGAAGGACCACTTTTAACTAAAGACCACCCATGGAATAACTGCTATTATAGACAGCCATGTTATATAATTATCTAATGCCTCTGAATATGTAGATTTTTGCATTTGTCCATAGACAAACTGTATTGTTTCCATTAATAGATTAATATATAAAGAATTGTCACTTTTTCTTACAGCTGTTTTCTCTATAATTTCAGACAGTGGCACACTGGATTTACAAGACGATAAGCTGGATATAGATGGCAGTGTGGTAAGTTAAAATGAGTTATCTGCCCTTAACAAATGAGTTATCTGCACTTGATAAAAGTAGCCTGCCTTTGAAAAAAACAGCAACATGCAGTTGATAAAACAGTCACTTGCTAATAAATTTATGAGTTATGTGCAGGTGCTAAGTTGTGTCTAAGTCCGATTGAAAGAAAAAAAAACAGGAACAGTTATCTGCCCTTGAAAATCAAATATGAAAATCGGTTATCATGATACAACATGCAGTGATAATCAGCCTCCGGTTCTATAGTAAGGCAATTCATTTTGTTGCTTCATCTTTATTGTGTAATTAATGAATACATAGTTGTTTTTTTATAGAATTTTGCATTTCTAGTTGTACATCAAGATCATTTATGTGGACAAGTTATATCAATTTGCTGGTATTCTGTCTATTTGTTTGTTTGTCTTATTTTATTCATTAAAAGCACAGTGTTTTGCATTTGTTAATAAGCCAGTCTTAGTGTCCATGCCAAACGCTATGGCTAAGTTTATGTCATTTGAAAACAGTTACTTCTTCACAGCCTGAATTTTGGTTGGAATCTTAACTTTATATAATTCTTGATGCCACGCAACACTTAACATGTGTATAAGTAACATCTTAAGTATTAAGTTCTATTCTAAAATATTTAAAGCAATTAAATACATGTATTGAAATGAGAAATTATTGTACCAATCAAGTTTCATTTAAGCTTATTGGTCAAAGATTTTAAATTCCCAACATCAGGGGGGTTACTGAAAGCATATGAGCTGCGTCATGACAAAATCAACATAGTGCGTTTGCGACCAGCATGGATCCAGACCAGCCTGCGCATCCGTGCAGTCTGATCAGGATCCATGCTGTTCGCTTACCAACCCTTTTACAAGTAGAGAAACTGATAGCGAACAGCATGGATCCTGATCAGACTGTGCGGATGCGCAGGCTGGTCTGGATCTCTGCTGGTCGCAAATGCACTATGTTGGTTTTGTCATGACGTGGCTCATATCTTAATACAAGAAAAGAGGAAGCTGAGATTGTTGCTATAATCGTATTGGTCAAAATGCCTTCCTTATTGAATAAACATTGTTTTTTATTTGTGCATCAACCACTTTATGTATTTAACATTAAACATTGGTTTTTATTATGCCTCCATTTAACATCCTTTTAGTAAAATTTGAATATGTATGGCAGATGAAACATTCATTGACATACATGAGAAGTTTGGTTTGATTTTGTTAAAATTTATTCCAGAACAAGTAAGTAAATAGTAATGTTTAATGGCAAAAAAAAAAACATGTCTAATAATAGTAACATTCATGATATCATATTGATATGAAGATTATCAAACATTTGAAAATGAAGATAGCTTAGCTCATTAAAAACGTAACTCTACTAATTTAATCCTTATTATTCTAAAATTGAAATTTTGGAGTGATTCCACTTATTGTTTGACACTGTCTATTGTTTATGTTGAATTTTCTTATCAAAATGCTAAATCAGTATAGAGTTTGGTCAGACTGCATGGATGTGGAATCTGACCTTAACGATAGCTCCTTAAGGTCCATTCAGTGTTGCCACTATCATGTTACTTTAACCCTTGCCATGTTTCATAAATAATGAAATTGTCCATCTTTAAATTTGGACAAAAACATTCACCATTTTTAGGGAAAATTTCAAATGTTCAGACTGATACCCCCCCCCCTTGTGACTGACTCAGGGGTTGTCTGGAATTGTTCATGAAAGGCGAGTAAATGGTTCAAATAACTGGAGTCTGTGCATCTTTTAGCTCCAGCTGGTGAGGTGGTTTTGACCACTTGTGTTGCTTTGAAGTTTGTAATACCCTGAGGTTAGCCAAAATCATCTTTCCTTTCTGTGCTGTATTACCCATACTGTGTTGGTGCACCGTAAAAACCAAAGACTGAATAATGAAGATACGGCCAATTGACTGGATGGTTGAATGTTCCGGCTGATCTTTGTCTGCACTTACAGAATCTGTTGTAGCTAGCCGGTTGAGAGTAAAGTAAGCAAAACATTTGTTGACATGTTAAATGCACCTTTTGTTATAGCTTTTGCAAACTGATTTAAAAAAAACCCAAAAAACATGCATCTATGCATGTTTATCTTGATAATTATTTACTTAAGTGTTTAATGATATGGTATTTTTACAGTTTATACATTGTAAATAAAATGAGGACTGTTGAAACAGACACAAGTCAATTGTATTTGGATATTTTCCAGGAAAGTCATGATACTTGGTACTAGATATGATATATATCTGATGTTGTTTGACCTTGACCCCTAGCTAAGATAGGTTCATGATGTGTTTAAATTTGTAACAGTCATGTAGGAAGATATCATGAGAAACTAAAATTTTATCTGTAAGAATTCTATTTCTTTTTGGTGTGGGAGGGGGTTCATGATACAAGATTGTTGGAGACTGAATACATCCTGTCTTAATATCCAATTATAAGGCAATTAGTAACAGTATCACAACATAATTGGTATAATGGACTTGTCCTGCTGCCAAATTTTGGACCAGTCCATTGTTGTTTTACAGGGTTTTCCATTATATATGAAAATACTAAACTCAAGTTATCATCATTTGAACTATTCTTGTATCTTACGCCTTCACGCTTCATTCTCGTTTCCCAATATGGATTCATAGCTACCAGGGCCAGAACTCCGAGTCCTATTTGATCAAGGACCTCTGTCAACTTGCTGGCATCGTGAAGAGTCAAATCACACCACATATCTGGCACCCATCGTGGGGGCAGGAGTATCAAAAATAAAAAAAAACCAACATACCCAATTTATTCAATTATTCATCTATTTAATAATTATATTCATTGATTTAAACACATAATTTATTACTATTCAACCTATGACACTGTCTAGACTGAAAGTTTTACTATATGCTGATATGATATAAACCTATTGGTCTGATTGTAAGGTACTTTTATTCCATCCATAGCCTGCGCAGTGGCAAACTGATTCTACTAATGCAACCATTGCAGACCAAGATCAGTTGTCACGTCCATGCCTTCTGATCATGGTGACTGCAGTCTGTTCGCTATTCCATCAATACGTATTTTGAAATTTTTTCCCAAAGTAAAAGTTAGATTAAAAGATGGACAAGTCCATTTAAGATTTTTAGCCACATATAAAGGGTTAATTGTTGCGAAGTCTCCCAAAAATTGGCGGCGTGGCCGAGTGGTTAACGCGTCGGACTAGTAATCTAAGGATTGCTGGCTGTGTGGGTTCAAACCCTAGTGTCAAGGGCAAACCGTTGTTTCCTTGAGCAAGAAACTTTACATTCATTACTGGTTGGTTCCTGGAATGGATTCGAGAGTGTTTCAATAAGTTTAAAGCTTCCAACACAATTGAACTAAAATAAATTTGTATAAACTTAAAAGTTAAAAAAGAAGTAACAAAAACAAGTAACAAGGAACAAAATATTTTGTTATCTTATTTGCTTTACATTTCAACTATGCGTCTAGATTTCATTGAAAATAACAAACAACTTGTTTTTATCTGTCATTAGGTTTGGTTCACGGCAATGAATTATAAATAAATGAAGAAATCTAATACAATTAAATAGTACTTTACCGATTTCATAATCCAATATTTAATTTTGGGTTACTTCCCTTTTACTAAGTTAGTTAAAAGTTTAAAATGAAATAAGTGTTAAATATTTTGATTATTTTATTGATTGACAGGGGTGATTGATTTATTTATTATCAAGTTTATTTATTAATTTGGTTGTAATTTTCATCACACCAACACAGTATTAAAACTAAATAAAGAATATTATAATTTATATATGTTTTGTAGATCAGATTTAGAAATCATCTTTAAAGAATTAGATGTTGGTGTTGTTATGTCTGCAGTTTATGTCTAATATATTATTAGTTTATGTCTAATATAATAATCTAGATAATTTCTAGACTATACCAATTGTCACAGAAGGTAATGGTTACTTATAGTAAATTAAGGTCTGTGGAACTATGTAGGTAAATTATCAAATAATGGTAGGAAAAAATATTGAGTAAAATGTCCACAAAAAGCTTAGAAATTGATAATTTTAATGAAATCATTTCTACTACCCTTCAGCTGAATAAGAATAATTTGAGCCACAACACGACAAAACCAACATAATAAGTGCGTTTGCGACCAGCATGGATCCAGACCAGCCTGCGCATGCGCAGTCTGATCAGGATCCATGCTGTTCGCTGTCAAGTTCTCTACTTGTAATAGAGTTGGTAAGTGAACAGCATGGATCCTGATCAGACTGCGCGGATGCGCAGGCTGGTCTGGATCCATGCTGGTCGCAAACCCACTATGTTGGTTTTGTCGTGATGCGGCTCAATTATTTATTTATAGCACTGTCAACATAATTTCTGGTACTGATTCTTTAGAAAAAAAAAATCATTTCTGTTACTTTTTCAACAAAAAATTAGAAATTATATCTTATGAAATATTTTATAAGATTTATAAACAGTTAAATTATGCTGTTTCCATAATTTTATGGTTGATTCTCAAAAGGGTTGTTACAATAGCATGACTCTGTTATTTAACACAATGGCATATAAATAATGTAAATTAACAATCAAATGTTCCGAAACAAAATTAATAATTGTGCTGATATTTCAAGTAGAGTTTTAACCATTTTGGGTTGACTTTGATCATGGGCTATTCACTTTTATGGATATTTGCAAACATATTTCTTTCATACAGGCATTTTGGAAGTTTTTTTTTTTTTTTTTTTTCAAAATTGAAACAATAATTTTGTTAAGTTTGTGAGAGAGGTAGCAGCATGTATATACCGTATATCTTGTTGCAATTTTAAGTGCAATTGTACCCTGAAAATCAAACAATCCTCTTCAATTAATTCAAGAATTTCGTATATACACACTCCGGAAGGAAATTGTTGATGTATTGTCATGTCAACATGGATGTCCATTCACTCACGGGTTCTATTATCATATTTTTAGCTCACCTGACCACGAAGT